AGAATGGTCTCTGGTTTATCGGTCTTTGTTTTGTTACCTGGCCTTCAGCCCCGTCGAGAGCAATTTACATTGCCACTGGTACACAGTCACCTCTCATGTTATATGCTGAACTAACTCAGACGAAGTACATACTGGTTGATAATTAAGCATTTTACATTCCAGATTCCTGAAAATTTACGCAGTGGAAAAAGAGCAATGTTTGCTATCTTCTTTGGAACTGAATTTATAAATTAATGGCCTTCGTATTACGGGTCTGCTCGTTCTTGCAAAAGGTTTGCCGGAGATGGTTTCAGTCGTATCCTAGAGAATGCTTTTAGCCGCAGTCAGCAAACGTTTCACATCCTGTCAAACACGTTTGTCTTCCAGAGTCCATCTGAACTTGTCAAGTTTTATCATTGTTTCCAGTGAGGCAGATAAAGGCTATGAAGTTCGAGATATGTCGAGAAGTATGAAGTAGAATACGATTGGAAAGATTAGGTGGAATGATCAATATCTATGATATTCTACTGCTGCCGCCGTTTGCATAGACATTAATCTGGAACATGTGATTATCCAAAGGTAATTAAGGACATTCGGGATGAGAATCCTTCGTCAATCATAATCTATCCAACAACGTTTGCAACCATCTGTGACCGGCATAAATATTTTGCCAATTAACATGTTATCACTACAAAATTATCCATAAATAAATGCATATGGGACGATCCTGCCATTCCTTTTCAAATAAAGGAACCATCCACTGTGCTCACAGTTAGAAGTTATCATACTGTTGCAGAAAAGTGATAACGTTGGAGACAACTGCGATGTAGTTAAGAAAACACTCTGGAACAGTGGGCTTGTAGTAGCAATATGCCAGGAGGAAGTATATAGGAAAACAAGGTGTCAGCATCATTCTTTTTTTGAGTTTATTGTATGTGTTAGGTATAGTTTTTTGCGTTTATTAACCGACGTTTTATTTGTTTCTTTGCAAATTAATTATAAGCATGTCGCATTTCTTCTATGGAAGTCATCGTTTTGGCAAAATTAGCTTATGTAGGCCCACTCATATACCCCTTGTCCCAGCATTTTGTCCTGCAAAA